AAAACAAAACAAAGGTGGTCGTTGTGTTGTGAGTTTCTTCTTCAATGGCACAATTACGTGCTGCGAGTTTATTTCCCTTACTTTCTGTTTGAGAGTTTATTTTTCTCTGTTCAATAGCTTATTAGTAAGACGAACTTTGACTTAGTCCAGCTGCCACAAAACTAAAGAAAAACCTCTGCTGTGTGATTGTTTCTCCTTATGGGATGATCATTTAGATAATCTGGAAGTCAGATCTGATCAAAAGGGTACTGTAATTAGACACGGGAAGAATGTGTCCAGGGTTATAAGTGGACAATATATTATGTAGGAATGTAAACCTGAAAACTAGCACGTTAAGCAGGGGAATACATGGCTTTTAGTAAAGTCATAGGATATTCCCTGGTTACATGGAACAGTTCAGACATACCAAAAAAAGGCAAGAGTACGGAATCAAGTTATACTAAAGAAAAACATTGCTACTTTTTAGGCCCTTAAGATAAACATTTTAATGTCAGGCAGAGTTAGAATCAGAGAAAAAAAGTTCTAGGAGCTGATGAATAAGTTGAGGGAGAACGTTATCTTCCAAGGCTTACAGGGAGAAAACCTGGCGGCAATGATATGCAATCCGGGGTAGCGAGATACAGCAAAAGCTGAACTTCTGAGATATGAATTTAAGAAATTTCAAAAGCAAAACTCTACCTTGAGAAATGAAATTATCATTTTAAATGAAGAGGACATCTTTAACCTGAACCTAGTGAAATTATATAGATCTCAGGAATAAGATGACAGTTAAAGAAAGAGATTTGATTTTTAATTATAAATTGGAATTAAAATTAAAAATCAAATGAAATTAAAAATTAAAAATCAAAACCACTTGCAATTTTGTTAAGAAGAGATCAATAATTCAAGAAAACCATGTTGTTTTAAATATAAAGGACCAGACTCTAAACCTGTGTCAGTGTGACCCTGACACAATATTTAATTTTTAGAAAAACACAGTTTTAAAAAAATCTTATCCAACAGGATCACAAGTAAAACTTTCTTCATTATGCCCACCTTTTATAAATTTTTTTCTTTTGAGACAGAGTCTTGTACTGTCTCCCCAGCCAGAGTGCAGTGGTATCATCATAGCTCACAACAACCTCAAACTCCTAGGCTGGAGAGATCCTCCTGCCTCAGCCTCCTGAGTAGCTGGGACTACAGGTGGGCACCAGTGTGCCTGGCTCATTTTTCTATTTTTTGTAGAGATGGGGTGTTACTCTTGCTCAGGCTGATCTTGAACTCCGGGCCTCAAGCTATTGAACCTCCTGCTTTGGCCTCCCAGAGTGCTAGGATTGTAGGTGTCAGCCACCTCACCTGGCCTATCAATCTTTTTTGACTTATTTAGACCTATAATCATTTTCCCAAGCCCCAAGTCTTAGTCCTATAAAATTTTTTTCTAAATTTTGGAAAAACAATTATTTTGTCTTAGGATACAAATTTATCACGGAAGATTCTTTTTATACAAAATTTTTAAAAATTTATATTTTGATTAATAGATCCAAGTATATGTGGTCTTTTTACAATATTTAAGAAGCCAAGAATGAACTTATATTTATTTAGCAATTTGTTCCAGGTTTTTAAAAATCTTGTTTGAATATGATCTAGATATTCCATGAGTATCTATTATTTGATTTAACATAATTTTAAGAGTACATGAAATGTTGATTTGCATATGTTAGGGTGTGAATTCGTATGTGGGATGAGAAAGATTTTTCACACAAAGATTTGGATCTTAAGAAATAAAAAGTATATTTGAGAGAGAGAGAGAGAAAAGTGAGGTGACATTGGAAAGGAAGGCAACAGGAGCTGCCTGCTCTGAGGCCAGGTGGCCGGGAGTTTTCACAGGGAAAAAGGGTAAAGAAACAGTTAATGTTGTAATAACTGGAGATGGCTGAAGAGACTATTTCTGCTTTATTTTTTTTTCCCTTCTCTGTAAGGCCGGCTTGTCAGGGTCATTGAAAGTGCCCCGGCAGGAGCTGAGGCAGAGAGCTTGCGCCCCTGCTCTCCACGGCTGGGAAACGGACTCTTAGAGACAGCAAGTTAGGCCGAAAGACAACCCAGGTGTTGAATGAAACAAAACAAAGGGCAGTTGTGCTGTGAGGTTTTCTTCAAAGGGGCGATTATGTGTTGGGAGTTTATTCCTTTTACTTTCTGTTTGATAGTTTATTTCCCTCTGTTAGGTTATTAGTAAGGCCGTCTTTCAGTAAATGTTTATTTTATTTATAATTACCTCATTCTTTTTTTATTTTAACAATGACACCTAGGTTACTTATGAAAATTAAGATATTAGACAGAGCTAGTCATTAATTCAAGTTTTTTTTAATTAACCAGTTTCATAATCTGTTAATATCAAATGTTTCCCTAGATACCAACCTTAAAGTTAAAAATATGGGTACCTTACCAACAACTCAGAACTAACACAGCTGCTTGCATTAAATCAATAATATTAATCTTACTTATTAAAGAATTGCAAAACAAAGATCATTTTGTTTTAAGCTGAGTTTATAGCATTTGACCTTAAACCATCTAGTAGAATTAAATATAAACTATCTCAGTAAATTGAGGCAAAAATGCATGTTGACAAGTTTTTTTTTTTTTAGACAGAGTCTCCCTCTGTTGCCCGGGCTACAGTGCGGTGGCTTCAGCCCAGCTCACAGCAACTTCAAACTCCTGGGCTCAAGCCATCCTCCTGCCTCAGCCTCCGCAGTAGCTGGGACTACAGATGCACGTCACCACACCTGGCTAATTTTTTCTATTAGTAGAGATAGGGTCTCGCTCTTGCTCAGGCTGGTCTCAAATTCCTGATTTGAAGTGATCCTCCTGCCTCGGCCTCCCAGAGTGCTGGGATTACAGGCGTGAGCTTGTGCCTGGCCTGGATTAACATTTTTTAAGGGACTTCTGGCTGACTACACCGGATTTTATTATTATATGTAGACACAACAGAATATGTAGTACATGTACATACACATAAACACATAGAAACACATATACATACACATAAAGATCTTATAGCTTTTATTTTAGAATTTTAGCCATGAGAGAGTAAAGCTTATAAACTACCAGTTTATAAAAAAGTTGTATCCAAAATATCTTGCCGACAAAATGGGATAAGGCTAAACTTTAAGTATTTTTTTTTTTTTAAGTAGGCAATCTTATAAAGGCTGTGAACCAAATTTTGGGTAAAGCACTTTGAAGCAGCTACCAATATACTGGATTGGAAAAAGAATAGTTAACTGTGAAAATGTGATTAAAGTATGTGAAGAGGACCAAAAGATAAGAATCTAGCAAGTTCTGTGCAGCATTTTCTTAGACTCAATTCTTTGTCCTTGAAGCTAAGAATGTTGTCATTCCTCAGTGCAGAGAGGGTGTCTATCCACGGGAATTTCATCTTTTGTTTTTAAGAAACAGCATGAAGTTCAATATGATTTTTTTGTATCTGCTGGTTTTTAAGTTTTTTACTTTAGTAGTATGCCAGAATAGCTGTTTAGACAAGGTAGAGAAACATGAGGAATTTTCAGATCGGGAGCAGAAAGCTCCAGAGAGGTAAACCTTTCAGCAGTTAGCTTTGCCACAGTATTTCATACCAAGGCAATCTTTGAATCCTGAATGTTTTATCTTTTTTTGTTTGTTTGTTTTTCTTAAACAGAGACAAGGTCTCACTCTGTCACCCAGACTGGAGTGCCCCGGTACAATCAAAACTCACTGCAGCCTCAAACTCCTGGGCTCAAGCGATCCTCTTGCCTCAGCCTCCTGAGTAGAGTAGCTGGGACTACAACCACGCCTGGCTAGTTTAAATATCTTTTCTAGAGATGGGGTCTGGCTATGTTGCCCAGGCTGGAATCCAACTCCTGCCTTCAAGGGATCTTCTGCTATTGGCCTCCCAAAATGTGGGTATGAGTGAAAGCTTTCATTTTGGCTTTGTTAGCCTCAAGATATCAATGAGATATGTGCAGATTATTTGAAGTAAATGATTTTATAGTCATAATCTCTTACTGTAGTTTTAAGACCAACAGATTGAATGATGGATCCCTATAATGTTTGAACACGGTACAGGCTGGAGTTCCAGAAAATACCTTGACATGCCTTTGAACTTTGCAAGCTCATTTGTAACTAAATTTGTCTAGGTGATTTAGTTTACTGGGGAAAACACCAAGGCCAATTAGAAGCAAGGGCTGAATATGCAAAGGCCAAACAAACACAAGCGCTAATAAAGGAAGCCCATCATTACCAGGAATACAATGCCTTCTCCACAGCGGGGAACCAATCTCCCCTCATCCAACCTCAGGGCACAAACCACCCAGCTGCTGTCAACAGGAGGAAAACAGCCCTGTCCAACTGGGGAGCTCCCAAAGGAGGGGGAAAGACCCCTCTCCAGTCCCATCCCAAATAAAACAGAACACAGTACAAGTTTGGGAATTCTGTCCAAGGGACACTAAGGAGCGGGAAGGGGCGACCAGCGTGGGAACCTCATGCCAAGTCCCGGGGGCTTGAGATTCTCCCTGAGGGGAATCAGCTTTGGACTCAGCATCTGATATCTTGGGGAGGTCAAAAAGAAGAGAAGAATTACAATTGAGGGGGTACACTCAGAAAAAACAGAAGGTTGGGCCTTCTATAACCAGGGGAGGTGTTGGAGGGGACGGGTATATGCATACACAAAGAGTGCAATGCGCACCACCCGAAGAATGGACATATTTGAAACTGGGACTTAGGGGGAGGGGGGGCAAGGGCAACATATGTAACCTAAACATCTGTACCCCCATTATATGCTGAAATAAAAAAAAAAGGGGGAGGTGTTAGCTCTTGCTCTTCCAGAAGGTTCGCTGGCACCAGTCAGGGTGTGAGGAGCTGGCAGGGGCCGCTGCTGAGCACGGCGGTGGGCGAGTCGGTCCTAGGGCGGCAGTAACTTCTCTCGGAAGCTGGAGAGAAACTGGCTTCAGGGTCCCACAAGCAGCTTCAGCAGTCAGGTGTGCAGAGAGTCACATTTCTGAAGCAAAGTTCTGTATCCAGGGCTTCTTCCTGCTGGCTTCTGGGCTGTCCCAGTTGGGTATGACAAGGACGACCCAATTCTCAGGATCAACTTGTACAAAGGATGTTTCTCAGAGCTTGTGAGTTTCACCCTCATATACACTCCCGCCCATCCACCTGCAGCTAATGACGAGCTCGGTGGGTGTGGCCTGTTGGAAGGAGCCAGGTGAGGGGCTCCCGGGCTGGGGGGGATGGAGGTCGGTCCAGAGGCAGAAACAGCCAGTGACAGGAAGGGCCCAGCAGAGCAGGGAGGAGGCCTTGGGGTGGGGGCAGCACCGAGGAGTGCCCAGCCCGAGGGCAGGAGGAGGACAGGAGGGCCAGGCCGCAATGGGTCTGGGCAGGGACCAAGGGAAGGCCGGAGGGGAAGCGCAGAGGCCAGGGAGACAGGTGATTTGGCTCGAGGAAGCCTCTCACCCGAGGATCTCCTGCAGCTGAGTGTCCAGTAATTGATGATTTTCATTCAATCCGTCCCAAGGCTGGAATGGCTTTCCCTGGTTGTCCACAAACTTTTCCCAGCAGTATTCAAACTCTGAGATCAAAGAGGGAGAAAGCATTCAGGGCCTGGCAGGCCTCTCTCCCCTGCCCGATCAGACCGTGCCCTCCCAGGGCCAGGTCTCCTGGGTGCCAGTGGGGGTTCAGCTGGCTCAGGCCTGGCAAGGTTCCCCTGGAACCCTGACCCTCTGCTGGTGTCCAGACCCCTGAGTTCCCCACAGTGTCGCTCCTGCAGCCGCAAACCTGACCCCCACTTCTCACCTCTAAGCGACATGATGTGCACCTGGGCCCCTTCCTGATTCATCCTTCGAAGGCCCCGCCGGTGTTCTGGGTCACGGTGGTAGTAGAGGCGGCCAGCAAATATGGTCAGGCTCACATTCTTGTGCTTGGCCAGAAAGCCAGCCACGAGATCCGCACAGTCGGCGCAGGGACTCCAGGATGCGTACCAGGTGACCTGGTAGTCCTGGTCAGGGGACAGCATGTCGTGGAACCAAGTCATGAAGCAGTCCTCTGCATGGCAAGGAGTCTTGGGAGGACCCTGGGAGATGAGGAAGAGGGAAGGGGGTGCTCTGGGTGGAGAAGTAGGCAATGCAGGGGAGGGGCGGTGGCAGGAGGGCCCTGGCCAGAGCCCCCGGGCATTTGGTTCCTGGAGCTTCCTCCTCCATCCCTCCCCTTCTCCTCTTTCACTCTCAAGTCTTCCCTGGCCCCGCTCCTGGCTCCTGCACTGGCTCCAGCAGCCTCTCCAGGCATCCGTCCAGCAGCTACCCTGACCCCTGCCTGG